AGCTCTGCCAGAGGTCGAGGTCGAGGACTAAGTGGAATTTCAGGCTCCTCCTCTTCATCATCACCTAAGAAAAGAGAGTATACCGGCAATAGTGAGAGATACAGAGACGCCTGATACACATAGAGCAGTCAGAGGCAAACTTTAATAATGGACCATATCCCCTTTGCTATCAATAGAAATGGGCTACTTTTTATTTTATACATTGCCTTATTAACACAAACAGGGCTGTTTACTAAAGTGAGAATTCAAAGTGAATTTCACATTTAGAGTCAGAGCACTCAAGTGAAATTATAGCTGACTTAGGGCCATTGGAAAGATTAGTTTACCGACAGTGAACTGTAATGCTGGGGGAAGGGAGCCAGTCACCTCTGTCTGTCTTTCTCATGAGCACCAATAGTATTAGAGCACCATGGAAGTGCAGACCAAATAACCAGCTGACTGTAACAGCAGGTTATGTTAACTCTGGCCAAAGCCTCATATCTGACCTGCTCAAAATCATGACACTGGGATAAATCAAGAGTGCTAGGCCTGAGAGCCGCAAGTGCCTTTGTATAGGCAATAACTATAATCACTGTAAGCACTGTAAGGAGAGCTGCTGCCTGGTCGGGTGCAAAAGCTGCAGAAGGACTGGGGCAGAAGCATTCTGGGGTCCCTGCAAGTGACTAGGAAGTGGACTTGGCGGAGGTACCCAGCCGGGATACAGGGAGCTCCGTCACATCTGGATTCTAACTAGTAATCTTCTTCTGACATATCAGAATCCCATTGGGGATCGCTTCTGGGTCTTTTTCTCTTGCTAGATTCTGCTATGCCCTCAGCCGCAGCCTGTTTAATCCAAAATGTAATGTCCTGTGGTAAGGTAGAGGCTTGTGGTGACTCTTTGGTTGGATTCACCAGACGTTAAGGCTAGACATTTCCTGCAGAGCCTACAGTTTTCAAAAAGGCCTGAATGCGCATCCTGCACAAACCACCGGTTTATTCCTCGTCCTCCACACATGCACAACCTGTGGCCTCCCAGATGTGTTGGACTACAATGCCCATGATTCTTTGAATGAAACAGATAGCATGTCCTGTCTACCTGTAGTTCCTTACAGGTAGGGAAAGTAATGTTTTTTATTACTATAACTACCTTTTTAACATTTTTCTATGTAGCACAGTTCTTTCATTCAGTAAGACTCCACAGATAAATCTCAGATGAGTCAATTCATTTGGGCATGAATTAAAAGTAATTTGATTCAAACTGCTCCAAATTATTTTAAAATGATTTACAGTCTAGTAATTATTAAAGCCTCTAACCTATTCTCAGCTATGCTTCCAATTTGGCTATTTTAGTTTTAAATTTGAAATTCATTTTGAATTCACCTAGGATTCTTGACAATTCTCAATTTAGCGAATAACTCTATTAGAAATGTGGGATCCAAATATCTACACACATGAACTCTATAAGCCATATTTCTGGTGGAGCACAACTGAAGTAATGTCATGTAAAACAAAGTATAGCTTAATAGATGAGATTTTGACCTTTTTCTTTTTTTTAATTCTGGACAGCAATTTTTGCTTACACCAATCCATCGGATAAATAATTAAGTAAGATAAACAATAACTAGTCTAAGATTTTGAAGTATGTAACTGCAATTCACCTAGTCTTAGCTATACATTCTGTCAGTATCTGATTGTTATGGGACTGTGACAGTCAGTGATCTAGTAAATAATTCATTGTAGTACCTTGCTGTGTACTAATGTAATGCTTATCTCTAACTTCTGTCTTTTTGTTAATCCTCTCTAACCAATTTACAAATATCAGATGTTGGCCTTGATTTAATATTTTTAGATAAACTTTTGAAATGATTTAGTATTTTGAAAAATATTTGAGATGTTAACATTTTTAAAAATCTTATTAAAAGTTTATCCAATACTATTAGGTAAATCATTTGAAAAGCTTATTCTTAAATCTTAAATTGAAGCCTTCAATTGATCACAATTTCCTTTTTTCCATATGTTGGCATTAACATGTTTCTTTCTAACTTTTTTTCCTTACAAACATTTCTATTAAGCCACATATTGGATCTGTTTCTTTATATAAAATATAATGTGTCTTCTTTGTAACTTGAGTTTAAAGATATTCCATACATGCTGAGAAAGGTCCAGCCCAGTTAATGAGCTGTAATGATGGCCTAAACATGCCAAGCTCTTACAAATTAGATTTCCCCCCCAAATCACTGGGTTAACGTAATAGGCAGGCACGAGACAGACACAAATATGATTCTGAACTGCGTATTCATAACATTAGGAATATTTTTACTTGTACTGGGATTTGTTATGTTTTTGTGTACAGCAAAATCCTCCTCTGCAAGGGTTATATTTCTATTGCAACCAGGTCTAGATGTTTGCACTTGAATAATTAGTAAAAAGTAATGTATATATTTTAGAGTCAGGTTTCACTCCATTGACAAGTTAAAGATCCACATTCATTAAAATGTGCTTGTTCGTAATGAAAAAGCAAAACAGAAAAAACACACTGACTGCTATAAAAACACCTATAAAATAACTTCAAAAATAAAAAGATTCAATGTCTGAAACTAGGTCTAGCACATAGCAAACCTTGACAATATAACAGAAAAAAACATGACAATGGCTATTGGCCTTGATATTAGTTTTGCTTCTTAGCATGTGCCAGAACAATTTTTAGGACAAAAAAAATTGTTTTTTTTCACCCCCATTGGTCATGATCAATCATCTTATTAAAAATAAAGAGTGACTAATAGCTAAAAAACAATTTACACTGTATTAGTGTGTAAGTGTTGCAAGCATCACAACTTCTTACCTGGGAAGTCTGCAGATGGATAAGGGTCCTTAATCTCATTCACATTAGACTCAAACTCATCTATCTTTAGCTGTTGAGAAAGGTGTGAAAAATAATCATTATAATCATCTGGTTCATATTAAAATAAATAAAACAGTTCAGCGCTAAGATAAAAAATAATCTGATATAGTTACCATATTACAAAAACAAACCCCTCATTATGAAATGATAAGGGTTAAATAAAAACATACAAAATTGTTCACAGCACCAGACACACCAATAGTATTACTGATAACTAGAGTTGAGCGAACTCGAACTGAAAAGTTTGGGTTCGTACTGAACATTAGTTTTTTTGGACCCCGGACCCGAACACAGACATATCATTGTATGTTCGGGTTGGAGTTCGGTGTTCAGCGATTTAATGGCGCGTTTTGAAAGGCTACAGGGGAGCCAATCAACAAGCGTTTGACTCGTGTGCCCTTAGAAGCCATCACAGTCATGCCTACTAATGGCATGGCTGTGATTGGCCAGTGCAGCATGTGACCCAGACTCTATGTATAAGCTGGAGTCGCGTAGCGCCGCACGCACATGCAGTCTTATTAGTGTAGGGAGAGGATGCTGCCGCTGATAGGGACAGCTTAGGAAAGAATTTTGCAAACTAGTACATTAGTGGGGTGGGGTGCACTTCATATCTGAGAGTCAAATAGAAGCTTCAAATACCACGGTTACATCGGAGTTTTAAAAAGTAATTTTTATTTTGGTGCTAAATAGTACATTAGTGGAGTAGTACATTAGTGGGGTGCACTTCATATTTGGGAGTCAAATAGAATTGTCAAATACTGCTGTCACATTGCAGTTTTAAAACGTAAAATTTTTGGGGTGCTAAAAAGTACATTAGTGGGGTGCACTTCACATCTGAGAGTCAAATAGAAGCGTCTAATAGTGTGCTTACAGCGCACTTGTAAACATTCTAATTGTTTTGCTGCTATTCTGCTAAATAGTACATTTTGGGGCATGCACTTCATTTCTTAGAGTCAAATAGAAGCGTCTAATACTGCGGTTACAGCGCAATTGTAAAAATTCTAATTGTTTTGCTGCTAATCTGCAGCTTACATTGGAGTTTTAAAAAGTCAATTTTTATTTTTTTATTTTTTAGGGGCGCTAAATAGTATATTTGGGGCGTTCACTTCATATCTGAGAGTCAAATTGAAGCATAACTTTGATTCGAATTTACTACATCTGTCACTTGTAATATTGTTTCACACCCACAACACTTGTTACACAGATCTAAGTGATAGAAAACAAATTGATATTTCTACACTAGGAACTACCACGTAACAAGCTGCTATATTTAAACCAGTGATCAATAGCTAAGAGGTACTTCAACAATATTGTAATTCTGGAGCAATACCCTCACAAGTCAAACTGAGAGGTCAGTTTATAGGGAAAACTGTTGCCTGGAGGAAATTCTACAACAATTTCCATATGTCCTTTGCAGACTTTACATGCTGGAAAAACTCAGGTGCCAACTGCGGTGGCTTTCTGCAGTGTGCATACCGGCAAGGAGGGCAGGGTTGAGGAGTGGGTGGAAGATGATGTGGAGGATGATGAGGGCTTAGACCCCACATGGAATCAAGGTCATGCGAGTGACGTGCAGTTTGGCGGAAGAGGCGCTGTGGCACAGAGGCACCAGCACAGCATAAGAGGGAGCAGGGTGCAAAAACGGGGCGGCCGTCCCCTAGTGCTCGTCGTCATGTATTAGCTCAAGAATTACCAGTTATCCAAGTAATACATGTAGCGATCAAAGGATCCATAATAGACTTGAGCGAACCCGAACTGCAAAGTTCAGTTTCGTACCAGATATAACGATCCATTCGTAGTTTCACAGTTAGGTGGGCAGTCCAGTGACCAGGACCCAGACACTGTCAGGATGTGACATTCACTGTAGCGGCTTTGGGTGCTTTTGGCGTTGTCAGCCTGCTGCTGCTCGCCTGTCTGCACTGCAGCGTAACTTCGGCCTTCCCGCTCACTGCCTCATGAGACTTTGCGAGCAGCAGCAGGCGATAGTGGAGTGTCAGCTGCAGCATGCACGGGTCAGTGGCTCTGCACCAGACTTACCTCCAATTGATCAGAGTTAAAGGATTTCAAGTGGACTCATTACAATTACAGAGCCTCCAAAGAGTCCTGTATTGTTATTTGTCGTCACTACCTTCCAACGTCGGGAGTGGGTCATTTGCGCGCCTGCTGCCTTCCTTGCATGTGGGAGCCGTTTCTCAGGGTCCCTGTATGGAATAGAATCCTGATTCCCCGTTACCCGTGGTCACCTGGTAGGTGCAGAAACTGGCATCGAAAGTTGATATGGATGACATCCGCATGCAAAGTCGCCGACACGGGGATGTGCGATTTGCCGGAGGTTCTTTAAAGTCAACAAAGTTCCTGCGCAACTATAATGTCAACAGCTTCTCTGCGGAACAGAGTTGTCTTTTTTTATATGTCCCAATATTTTGGGGGCTACCCCAATTAAAAAAAAAAATATATATATATATATATATATATATATATATATATATATATATATATATATATATATATATATATAAACAGTGTTGGCTACCTCATCCTCCTCCTCCACCGCCACGGTCACCGCCTCCTCAACCTATGGGTCACTTAGTATAAACTAGGTACACATTAGCAGAGGCTTGTGAAGGCCTTTTCTCCATGCATCAGGAGTTGAGCTCAGTTTGAACAATGAAAGAGAATACCCTGCAATCCAACCCTCTCTCAAATGGATAATTCTGGTGATCCTCCTGACAGCCATGCTTTAGATTTTGATTTATGCTCTTCCAAAGCTAAAATCAAAGATTCCATCTAGTGCTATTTTATGGCTCAGCTGTATTTTTAATTTTTATGTTATTTTAAGTGAGTTCCCTATCCACATTTGGTTGCAGGGCACTTGTCCTACTCTTACCCCCATTTTAGTTCCTTTTGCAGCTCTCTAGCCCTTTCCAGGAGTTTTTTTAGAGGCATTTTTGTGGCCAAAAGTGACTTCAATGGGGTTCGGGATCAAGTTCGGGATCACGTTCGAGCCCGAACGTTTTTTCAAAGTTCGGCCAAACCCGCCGGACCCGAACATCCAGGTGTCCGCTCAACTCTACTAATAACCAGTTCTTTATCAGTATATAAAAATCAAGAGATGTGTTCATCTAGTAGATACATTGTATCAGCTCCTGCAAGCAAATGTAGTAATTGTTGCAAAGAAAGTTATGTAAGCCATGAGGCTTTTCTTAAAAACTATACATACATAAGGTGGAGCTGGTATAAATCTGTGAAAATAAAACAGAATAATAGTGCAATATTGCCAGTAGAGTTATATAAAGGTAATGAGATTTGGAGTGTCACTCACAAGTGAAGAGCCATTAAATTCATATGGCTCTGATGGAAAGCGTAGTAGGACGCATGGAGGAGGTCCAACTCCTATTACTCCTGGTCTGTGCTGTATACCTCTGGTAACCTGGACACAGGATGCTGGAGATGTAGCTTGTAAAAGATACTTTTATTCAAGTAAATCATTAAAATAAAATTATATAAAAGTATAAAAGTCTTTGGGGGTATGTGGACACTATGGCCCCAAAGTGTTCAGAGTAGTCCAAAACGCGTTTTGCCCCTGTAATGGGGCTTCCTCAGCTGGTTTCAATCATTTGCTGTGTCTGCTCTGTTTTAAATATGCCATTTTGTCTACACTTCCAGTTCAGAAGTTGCAATACATCACTTTCAGTTTTACTCTTCGTTGGAAAGCACTATGCTTTATATTGGCTCTATTTTGACATCTGGAAACTTTATTGTAATCTGAAATGTCCATACATATGAAGGGAAACAGGAATATAGTTGTGTGTATTCCTGTTGTTATATTTAAACATATAAGTACATCATGGCTAGACAAGAAAGTGCAAATGCTTATAAATATTAAATCTCTTGTGATGGAAGACAAAATATGTTACTGTATCTGAATATTATACATCCTATAACAGGAACCAATAATGTTAGTGCATGCAAAAGTGTTATATCTCATTAATAATTCCTATCTTATGACAGAGAACAAAAGTGCTGCTGCATATGAATTCTGTATACCCTGTAGTAGGAAACAAAAGTAATATTGCATTTGAATGCCATATACCTTATGGCTGGAAACAAAAGTGCTGTTGTGTATGAGTGCTAAATACCTTATGGCAGGAATTCCTTCCTAGCTATGCAGCAGAACAAAAGTGCTGCTGTATATGAATTATGTATACCTTACAGCAGAGAGAGAAAAAACTATTGCATATGAATACTATATACCTTATGGCATATAAGGGTGCTACTACATATGAATACTATATATCTTGTAGTAGAAAACTAAAGTGCTGTTGCATGTGAATACTATATACATTGACAAGCAACAGAAGTGCTATTGCATGTAGATGTGATATATATATATCATATGGTCACTATTTAACATGTATCCAACTGACATATATACATCTTATTGAAATAGAACTGGGGTACAATTGCATTCTTTTGCTGTATAGTTAGTCATTTATATTTTAGTATATGGTGGAGATAAATATGCTTACTACACTTTTAGTACCTGAATTACAGAAAAATTATGTTTTTATAGAGCTAGGATTGTGACTTGTTCCCACGAGCTTCTGTATCCTTCTTAAGAGCATAGTAAAAGAAAATTGTGATATATACATTCAGGAAACGAGTGCGGACGGGAAGGTAAAAATTATGCGCCCATTTCTGTGCATGGGGGGTTTTAATTCATAAAATGACATAGCTCGTAGTCTCGATTAAGGCCATGGGGAATCATTGTATTAAAGTTAAAAATGAATTGCATTTCTTCCATTCCTATTTTTTTTTATTAAAATCTCCTCCCCTCCAATCTTTTTTTAACTAATTTGATAGCACAGAAAAATAGTCCATCTGGATTCTGATTGTGATGTTGTTTAAAGTGGCTAGAGACGCTGTGTGACTCCAGTCCCTTTCTGATATTTCTCACATGTTCTGACACTCGTATGTTGGTACATCAGATTGTTCTCCCTATATATACCAAGTTGCAGGGACATTTACATGCATAAATTACACCCTTAGAGTGGCGTGTTAGATGACAAAACGCGTTTTGGACTACTCTGCACACTTTGGGACCATAGTTTCCACATACCCCTAAAGACTTTTATACTTTTATATTATTTTATTTTAATGATTTACTTGAATAAAAACAGCTTTTACAAGCTTCATCTCCAGCATCCTGTGTCCAGGTTACCAGAGGTATACAGCACATACCAGGAGTAATAGGAGTTGGACCTCCTCCATGCGTCCTACTACGCTTTCCATCAGGGCCATATGAAGCTAATGGCTCTTCACTTGTGAGTGACACTCCAAATCTCATTACCTTTATATAACTGTACTGGCAATATTGCACTATTATTCTGTTTTATTTTCACAGATTTATACCAGCTCCTCCTTATGTATGTATATTTTGTATATTTGTAGAGGTGGTTTAGGGGATACCACTCAAGGTGTTTAGAGCTCTTTTTTTACCAATCCCTTTAAATTGTGCACTCTGTTAACATGATGCTTTTCTTCACTATAATTGCCAATGTGGTCCCAAGGAACACAAACATGTATTTTTAACCCTATAGTGTTAAAACCGCCATCTAGACCCCTGACACCCCTTCTCCCCCCTAAATATAGTAAAATCTTACTTGTATTTAATCTGCAGCTGCTGCCTCTGTCCCTGCTCTGCATGCTTGGTTGACATCATCAGAAGTGATTATGTGAGCCAGTCACAATGCTTCGCCATAGAATTGGCTGAGACTGTCGAGGAGACACAAGTCTTGGCCAATCAGCATCTCCTCATATAGATGCATTGAATTAATGCATCTCTATGAGGAAAGTTCAGTGTTTGCATGCAGAGGGTGGAGACAATGAATGGCAGTCACACTGTGCAGCACTGCACCAGTAAGCACCTCTAGCAGCCATATGAGGAGTGGCCAGTGAAGTTATTACTAGGCTGTAATGTAAACACTGCATTTTCTCTGAAACGACAGTGTTTACTGCAAAAAGCCTGAAGGGAATGATTCTACTCACTAGAACAAATACAATAAGCTGTAGCTGTTTTAGTGACTATACTTTAACATCAGCAGTATTACAGTCAAACCTTGAAAATGAAAAAGAAATCTCCTTAGTGTATTGATTTATATGGCAAATAAAACAAGTAAAAACCCATAAACATAGATGTTGTATGGTGAGAGTTAACACTTTAACCCACATAATTGTGTGCATTGATTCCATACTTATCAGATCAGCCAGGTTGATAGGTGTTCCACCCCAGAAAAAAAAGGTTTAGCACATTGCAAGACATTCAGGAAACTTGGCTGAAACATGTCTCCCGAACAGCCACCCTCGCCTAAAAGCCTAATCATCCCTCCAAATCATGCCACTCAGCTAAGCGCCTTTTCCAAGCAGCTCGGAAGCCTCGCTACACCAGCCGGGGGTCATCTGAGGCACGGCGCACCTGATTGGGAACTACCATCTACCTCTAAACTCTCTGTCTGCGATCCACTATAACTTTAAACAGAGCATGCTCGGTCCCAGGACTAGCAATCAGGGTGCTTTTTGGAGGGATGCTAGAGGGTGAGGTAAGGTACCAAAGGACTTTGGGTAGCTTCATGGATACACGTAAAGCATTATCATTCTACGTGACTGGGAAAGAGAAGCTAGCCACAACCCGCTAAAACTGTGACTTCCATCTATTTCAGGCTAATTACAACCAAATCCAGGCATGTGTGGACGCTCTGAGCCAAGCTTCCATGGGACACCAGTTGTGGAGATGTGAACACAGGAACTGAAGTTATTTTGTAGTTTGTACCCTGGTGCCAAGGTGTCTGGCCACTAATTAAATGATCAGCTCAGTTACAGACACAAAGGCACCGGAGACATTACAAACCTGTTGTTCTTCTCAGGGACCCACTGTTGAGACCCTAGGTATGTAAAGGTTACATTGTGTGACAATAAAATCAGTTTTATTCACCCTTCACTAAGTCTCAACTAGTGTCTGGGTGAGCCAGCTATATACTCTGCAAGAGAGCCTAATCACTCTGAAGCTTCTACACAAGGGAAGAGACAACCTAGATGGTAGTAACTCCTGGATTTACCACCACAACATATATAATGTATTCACTTTTGTTTTGACCAAACCACTTAATCTGGAAAAAAAAAACAAAGATACATTTTGGAATGGCATAATTTAGTCCATGCCAGAGTTGTGCTTGTCAGAATTCCGGTACCAATGCTATTTTGCAATGCCAATTCAGAGTTAGCAAAATTAGATTGGATTTAAAATAACATAGTGAGAGAACTTTTTTCACAATGACTGGTTGTAGGTTCATCCCACCGATGT